AGGATGCCTACTTTGACAAGGCTTCATAAAACACTGATGTGTGACCAGTTCCAAATTGAGAACATTTACAATGCAGTACTGATACCTTTTTTACAATTGTGATAAGATAATGATGTCTTCAGAAGTCTTCTCCGTGATGATGCACGCTGCACGTGCTAATGATTATGAATTTCATTGTCATGGGTATAACTGCTCTCGAGCTCACGGACATATGGAGCTCTGTGAGCTCGAGAGCAGTATATTACTAGACTGAATAAGTCTGGAAAAGCGCTTTAAATCGCTTATAATCGCATATTGTTTAACATGCTAAGACCACCAAACTCCCCCGTATCTGGTAACAAAGAACTAAAACTAGAAGGTAGCAAGGGTTACGCTTTAGCAGTATTATATTGCTTAATGATTTATGAAAGTCATAAAAGTGGTTACAATCGCTTCCTAAATCTTGGCGCCAGTAAATGGAAATTTAGAAAAGTGGTTAAATTGTGCTTGGAACTGGCCTTAGGAGCTGGCACAGAGAACTCTGTAAAGGTAACACGACTCTCGTCCGACAGCACTATTTCCTTGTGTTTGAGGAGATATATTAAATTCGCCCAAACTTGCACAGATTATCCGTCCTATAACTATCTTTAGTTAATCCTTGTTAAAGGTCTATATTACGAATCGTTGTTTAGTGTGTTTTGTAATTAAACCCGTGCAATACACACTATATAAAACAATTGAGGTCTGGCTATATCGGTCAGGTACGGTTCATTCTGGGGCATCATACAATGCACCATACAATGCATCATACAATGCACCGTGCAGGGTTGCCAATAAACTTACTACCAGTTCCCTATATTTACATTTAGGATCAGTGGTGAGACTGAGGCGTCTTCTGTGACTGGAGCTGGAAAGTAACGTTATTAACTGTCGATGTTCACTCGGTATAGTAGGGCCTCTTCTTCTTCGTGGTCATGCTCAAGAATCTTAAGTCAAGATGGCCACTATAAGATTGAGCATCGGAACCCTATGGCTATAGGGTACTTACTACTTACATCGCCAATAAAACGGACTTAACGCCCCTGTAAAGTTATGTTTCTGGTGGCCAAGCTGGGACCTAGGGCACTAACATATATGACGATATAAAGAGTAAAATGTTATGATCTCACGATAACCTGTACAGTGTACACTGTACAGTGTACACTGTACGTGTATAACTATACTCAGTACTGTGGTTAAATGTAACAATACTTCTGACATATAATTTCAAATTCAATACTCTCACAATATGTGACATATGAGTCATATAATTAGCATATGAGTCATATAATAATTTTAATACTTTCAACACTACTATATATATCAAATTATTCCTTTCCTGATAAGAGCATTTTCATTGTCGCATCAAACGGGATCAATAGAAATTTACCCAAGAAAACAGTCATATAATACCTCATAAATACCCTTCGCTTATAAATGAAGAGCTTGTCAATATTCAAACAGGTCTTAGTGCCAAGTAGAGTGTGCGTGGAACATATTGTAATACGTGTGTTCAATAAAATTAAATACTAAATAGATAGTGATTATTCATTTCTTTCCTCCGATCTATGGGTTGTATGCTAGGTTTTTATGTTCCATGTAAGTAAATAGTAAATACCCTACACATTACACAATATGCTTTCTAATCTCGATGAAGTCATTAATTACTCTCTTTATTGTAACGGTTACTGTATAATGGTAGCAGTGCAGCTTACAGCTGGCACTGTTTCGTATCGATATGTTTTTGTTTCCAGGGTAATATTGCATTTTTTCTTTGCTTTGTAACGTCATTCTTCCGCACTAAAGTACTCTTAGAATGTTTGCTGAAATTCAACATTTCAGAGGGTTTCTCGATTGTCATTCTATCATTGTAACTATCACTCTTTAGTCTTTATACAAAAGTAATATGTAGTTTAAAGCAGATATGGGTGTAATTTTGTAGCGAATTTCAAAAGGCTTGCTGCATTATAAATATAATAATATTATAGTGCAGCTGTTATATATGCTTGCAGCACTAGTGCAGCTGTTACACTTACACAAACTTGCAGCACTAGTGCAGCTACAAGGAGGGTCCTGCTCATGACATCCCTGAACTGAAAAGACATATTGTAGACTGCTGTAGAGATGTTTCAGTAGTTATCCTTTCGCAACAGTTATGTTTCACTATTCATTTTCCGCCAGGAATTCTTTAATAATTCCTAAGGCTCAAGTAGCACGCTTAAAGCATGGCATGGGGTACGTGATATCAGATTTACACAGTGGGAATTTTTAGGGTAGCCCAATTAAGGAGTCGTGTCACATAATCACCCAATCAATTTGCTAACAAGATAACTACGTTCAAAGTATCTTTTTTGAAGATCCAGACTTTGTTGCTCGTGATCTTTCTCCACTTATTAATATTTTACCGGGGTAAGCACAGGGCTCTAATGCTCTAAATTACAGTGGTCATGATCTATCCTATAGTGATAATGACCACAGTCCCCTGCGAAGAAGGATAACCTGATAATCCGATCGTTGGGTTCAGTTGTCGTATTTCCGATTTCGGTGCAGTTGTGATATGACTTGGGTTCAGTTGTCGTTTTGGGATTTAAGCTGATTGGTCACCCAATTAAGCTGATTGGGTGCCTGTTAACTGCGTGGGAACTAGGTTTAATTGGGTTCAGTTGTCGGTCACTCAAGATAAACTAAATGCTTGATAACTCATTCATTTCAAATCTATTTCACGTAATTTTCTCTGATCAGATGCAACATGAAATAATCTACCCGTCTACCATCTCTGAAAAAATTAGAGACAACAATACAGGTGTTTTAATAATGAATGGGCGTGGTCTAAAATATTAAAATTTTCAAATTTTGACGACGAAATCCTCGAACCAGAAGGTACAGTATGCTATCTGCAAAGCAACAGCTCTAAAATATAAAACACGGCGGAGCTATTAAGGCCAACATATGCTCAATGACTTTTGGCCCACCTTGTATAATGTATACACATCCGTACCATTTTACTGACACCACGGAATCAACTTTAACACGACGTTCTGCAAAAACCGTAAAAGATATACAACTGAAACTTTTTTGACGGGGTCAAATGCCTTAATGGCCTTCAAATCAGCATGAACAAATAAAAAATTGGCCAAGAAATAAGAATTTTAGTGCCCAAAATTTGGACCCCCAAGTGGTGTCAAAAACGCGAATTAAATAAGTGATAATTATTTTAGTCTCTTGAGTCACCACTTTATAGTTAGACGGGTTCCTGCTAGACGCTAGTAGTATCTAACACAGATCTACTGATTTCAGGACACCATAATGTTCCCGCATATTATGTTATAACTTATAGTTGCATCTTCATTACCTCAACTTAATTAAATTATGGTCAGCCCGCAGTTATATTCAGTCCAGATACCTCTGCAATTGCACAACAATGGCTAAAATAGTCTAGAACAACTATTTATGAAGTCTTATATAGAATATAGTAGGTAAATGGTAATACGAGTCATGTCTGTACCCAGACACTGTAGGTACAGTGTACATACTGTACCCAGACACTGTACAGTGTACATACTGTACCCAGACACTGTAGGTACTGTATACTTAATACTCTACCTATTTGCATCATTAAAGTTGTATACGTGTATTGTGTACTGCACATGACAGTGTACTTGAGGCAGTCATTATGCTCAATGTTTAGCTTTTCTTACTGTTCTATTGAGTTGCTGTGCGTTATTATCGTGTAGTGTGTAGTACATTGTGGTATTGTTGGGTCTACCTTGCTATATACGCTAGCATTACATATTCGATTATAACAAAGATTTTTGAATCTAATTGATCAGATCTCTGTTCCGTTTTGTCCATACTTCATCCGTTCATTTGTGACTACTTATTAGGATTGTTTAAAATGAGTCACACCAAACACAGGACACTATGACTGAGTATATTAAAGTCATTATTGTATATGCAGTTACTAAGTACTCATTGTATTACAGTGTAAGATTACTTACCATTGAGTCGTTATTAGCTGAAGTACACGAGCGCGATTGGTTTTGAGCACTGTTATGTAGTCTTTTAGCTGTTCAGCTATAAAGCTGCGTTGCGCCATCTTGATTCTTGATTTATGACATACGGCTTGGTGAATCCTTTTTTATTTCAGTATAATGATATCTCTTGGCCTAATTTTATAATTTAGGGTTTGGTATTCTCGATTCTGATCATTTCAGCCAAATTAAAAGTCGCGGAGAAGTAGTAAAAAGGTGGGAGGTGTCAAATTAAAAGTATTATTGCCAGGACCTGGCACATAGTTTTAGTAATTGCATGGTTGATTGTTCAGTCACAACGTCAAGGTAGTGGAACATAATGCATTACAACTGATGGTTTGACCTTATAGGAGTACAGTTGATCTATTTTGATCAAGGTGGTGACGATCATTACCACACCATGACACCAAGGCAACTTTAGGAAGTCTTTTGTATCGTCCAGGTTAAAAACCCCTGTTTAGTCATCACGCGGTCTGTCCTCGTTTCTTTTAAAGTACGTGTATAGCAATTGTCCATTTGTCCAGTTGTGAAATGCTAAAATACCACTAAATATTCATTTACCTAAATCCAAGATCTCTTGCACAGTTGATTTATTATTTATATTAGGTCATTCGGCTGTCCAGCACATTGACAAATAGAATTGCTGTCAAGGTTCTAGGTATTTAAAAAGGTTGCTTTTTGATATATTTGGTATAAGTGTACCTACCGTCGGTTGTGGAGCTTTTTCGTTGTAGCTATTTCATAATGAGGTGCTCTCAAATGTTTAAACTTAGAATATTAATCATTGTGCTAGAAATTGCAAAGGTTTATTTTCGATTCTGTCAGCTTTTCGGGCTCTCAAATCTCCCTGACTGTTGAAAAATAATACTGTGTTTGGTAAAAAAATCATTTGAATTTATCAAATCGTTTCTGATGGACACTTATTTAAATCACCCCATCATTCTGATTTAAAGGAATGAGTTAACTGGGAACGCGTGAGGTATAACGCGTGAGGTATAACGCGTGAGGTATAACCCCGAGGACAACCCCTACACACCTCATGATACGTTGAGAGATAGTTATTGTGAATGAGCTTTCACTACTCAGCCCTAACAGCAACAGGAAGTGACGATAGTCTGAACCGAAAGGGTTTTATCCATCAAGATTACCTTGATCACGATGCTAACATTGAGGATGAGTATGGTGAGGAAAAGCGCATCCTGATCACACTATACTACTAAAGCATCTTCGAAGTTAACTGTAGACACGATTCATATAGTTCCGTCATCTATTCTTCGTATTTTTATTTAGTTTTCCTTAATTATTGTCACAATATAAATTACATTTTACAGAAGAGTTGTATTATCACTCTCAGTATGACATGTTAAGGATTGGGGTATGTTAAGGTGTGTTTGAGTTGAGTACTCAATATAACCAAATGGTTTTTCAGCGATCTCAGTTCCAAAGGATGATATAGATGACAAGATATTATTGAAAAAGCAGTCTGTGAAGCGGGTCAGCCTCTAGAATATTTAATAATTGTTTATATTATCAATTGTTCATATAATGATTAACTGAAGAGTTATTCAGTACCATTGAACTCTTACCCAACATACTTTCGATGGTTGATATTAATCCTTTCTGTCAATCTGATCTGGCTTTTTCAATTCATCATCATTTTCAGGTATTTGGATATCCTATAACGATACCCTTCATCATCTCAAATGAGTTCTGTGAGAGATTTTCCTACTATGGAATGAGAAGTAAGGTTACACTTTTGTTAATTATATAAACTATGTAACTCATTTACTGGGTAAACTTGCCTCACTTCGATTGCATGTTTCTCAAGTGTCCCTAGAATAAAGGTATCAATCCTTAGGAAACCCTGGTTACATCTTTGACGTACTTTTCACCAATTGTTTTATCCTGTAGAATCATTGCCATGATTTCAGCTGTACTCATGATTTATCTCACGAAAAAGCTAATGATGAACAAGGATGATGCTTCTGATTGGTATCACGAATTTGTTGCTCTATGCTATGCAACCCCTCTTCTAGGAGCACTAATCGCTGATGTTTTCCTTGGAAAGTATCTGTAAGTACACAATAACATATTATAAGGATGAATCTTAATCCCAGTTTTTATTAATCAATTGAATAATTGATATTGCACTGATTGATAATCCTTACTTTCAGGACCATCTTGATACTCTCGGTGGTGTATTGTATTGGTAATGCCATAATGGCACTCACTGCTGTCGGCATGTGGTTTCCAGCAGCGAGTAATCCAGAGGGGGCAACCGACATTCAGCCTCAGACGTGGGGACCTTTGTTAGGACTTCAAATAATTGCTTTGGGGACTGGTGGTATTAAACCCTGTGTTTCTAGTTTCGGTGGCGATCAATTCCTTAAATCAGAGGTAGGTATCCCTAAACTAACCATAATACAATTGGATTATCATATTTTAATACATTTAAACCTCTTAAGAATTCCAAACCGTTGTCCATGTTATTTAGTGCTTGCACTTGTCGGATGTCCGATTGGTTCGTGCATCGTCTTGAACATATGGAATACTTTGTCTCGTATATTGCGCGATTTATACAGCTAGTTTTATCGCAGATTTTATCATTCATTTTTGGGCAAAAATAAAGTTCAATATTTCGTTTCAGTCAGGAAGAGTTCAACGGTATTTCTCCATGTTTTACTTCTCGATCAATGCTGGCAGCACAGTGGCAACTCTTTTAACTCCCGAGCTCAGAAGTTAGTCTTGATTGACACTGAAAATAGTAATAAAGTTAATAGTTCAATTTGGCAATTTTAACATTCATTGATTGCAACTCGTACAAAAATGTATAAAAATACGTCTTCAGGTTCAAGCTGTATGGGTGAAACGACTTGCTTCCCATTAGCGTTTGGTGTGCCAGCCTTTTTCATGGTACTGGCTGTGATAGCGTTCGTGTTGGCCAGTAAATGGTATGTCAAAGTTCCTCCCCTAGGAAACCCCATCGTCGATGTTGCTAAAGTCTCTTGGGTGCGTAAAATAAAAACTAAGATTTCTAAAACATTGCCTACAGTTGTGAGAAGTGTACTTATTTTAAAGTCTAATTTCACGGAAGAGTTTTTATTAATGGAAAGAAAAACAATAGCTGCGGATTGAAGTTGTCGCCAATCTTGCAAATCATATTCATTTGTTCAGGCAATGGCCACCAGTAAAACGAGTCCGGAAGAGCTCTTTGGTGTGAGTTGATATCTATAAATAGCTTTATAGTTGTATCTGTTATTTTGACATTGAGGGAATCGGAGACTTATGTTATTGGTATCCCAAAAAACCCATATGATCGTATGTGTATACTGTATATGATCAGGACGATATGATTTATTTCAGGCAAAGAAAGTCGCTGAAACTAAACAGCTATTTAGAGTTCTGGCTGTCTTTATCCCATTTCCATTTTTCTGGGCCCTGTTTGAGCAACAAGGAAGCAGGTGGATTGTGCAGGCCCAAAGACTGAACGGGCAACTTGTTAGTAAACACTTCTTTATCGGCCCAAGTTACCACAATTATCTTTGCTGATTTTATTTACAGCAGCTCCGACTAATTCCCTAATTTTTAACTTCACCATCAAACAATGAACACTGTTTCAGGGGAGCATCACAATCAAGCCAGATCAGATGCAAGTGTTTAATCCACTGCTAATTTTGGTTATGATTCCTGTGTTCGAGACTGTGGTGTATCCATTGATGAAAAAAGTTGGCATACCCACCGGGTAAGTAGAGTAGTTTCTGATTGAATTGAATGAAAGAACATTCGTTTATAAACGAATGCTCTTTCATGTATAATTGTATAAATACATCTCAATTGTAATCTTATCAATCTATTCAATAAATCAAACGGCAACTAGCATATCAATCTATCATATGAAATCTGTTTTTAGTCGTGACTTTTTTCAGGGCTACCTTCCGAATGGTAGCTGGAATGGTCCTCGTTGCATGTTCTTTCTTAATTTGTGGATTTGTCGAACTTGGAATGGAGGTAACACTTATTTTGTCAAATTGTCAATGATATGACTAAGTTATCTTAGCATTTCATTGTTCTTTTAACAATTTTATTGAAATATGGTCATATCAGTAAAACAATTTATGTAATTACTTAATTTGACCAAAACCCATAATCATGGGTAGAGTGTACCGCTGCCAGTGTCTCTCTTTTCCAAACAAAAGGAAATGATATTAATTTGAGGAACAGTCCGCTAATGCAAATTGATACCGAGAATGAAATCGGTCGCTCGCTTTTTCAAATCAATAAGCTTTATTACAATTCGTGAGCCGTGATCGAATGGAAAAAGCGAGCGACCGATTTCATTCTCGGTATCAATTTGCATTAGCGGACTGTTCATCAAATTAATATCATTTCCTTTTGTTTGGAAAAGAGAGACACTGGCAGCGGTACACTCTACCCATGATTATGGGTTTTGGTCAAATATCATCTCTTTTTGATTATAATGTCAGGATAATTTACACAGCTAGTCGAAACTTCATTAACAAGGAGGTAATTTCGACGATTTCGAAATTCTGCCTTTGAAAACGTTTCCTTGTGTTTAGTTAGGTATATCTGTCGATAACCGACTGAATATGGCACTTTTTACTCATTCAAGTTGGCATTAAATTCATATATAATGCCATTTAAATATCGTGGAAAGCAGAATATATTCGAAATCACGAATGAGCAAAATTCTCACCTTTCGCACGTGCAAACTTTGAGCGGACGTTGCGTGCGCATACAATATTGAATCACCGTAAATTTTTGCATAGTGGTATTTAATATATAGTTTGATAAGCATGCAAAGTTTCAGAAGATTTCAAAAAGAACTTGGATCACAACGGGACTCCAAAGTTGATAAAAATCGTGAAAATCAAAATTTTTAGTGATTTTAGCTATTTTAAATCAATTTGGGCGTGTCCCCACGTGTGCAACTTTTCGATTTTTAACTTTAAAACTAGCCTATAACACAATTTACACCTTAAAAAGCAAAATTGAGCTCCACAACCTAAGGGATAGCCCAACACCAGAGAATACTAATTCACAACTTTTGTGTTTTTATAAAATTATTCTTCAAAAAAGCACTAACTTCAATAGCAAATATCTTTATGAAGGAGTAAGATAGGAAACTTTTCCGGTAGATTTTTAGAATGCTTGAACAATTATCTAAGGTGAAAATGTCCTCAGATTTTGAATAAAATTACTCTTTAATGGTGTAAAATCGATTTGAAAAGTTGTTGTTTTGTCAAAAATCAAGTTTTAAAAACACTTAAATTGATGACGTCATCAAGTGATGATGATGATGATAAATTATTTTTCAATATAAAGTAAACTAAAGTATAAACGATTATCTTTAAAACCTGTGGTTCGAAATGACTGTATCTTTTATACTTTTGAATCTACGGACACTTAAATGTAGGCTACAATTGACTGCAAAAAGCGTCTATACATATTATTATATATCTTCACGACAATCTGTTGTAAAACAGGGGTTCCAGAAAACCCACTTCCCGATACTCCTGAAACATGAAATTTTTTTTACTGTCGACTTGGACAAGGTCTAGACGCCCTGCAAAGTTTCAGATCTCTAACTCAATTTTAACATGGTTTTTAAGGCACCTGAATATGGCGATTTTGGGTTTTTTACCTAATTTCGTATAACATGCTGGCGCGTATTTTGCGCAAATTTCTTAAAAACCTCCATATAACTATTTCTTATTCCTGTCATCTTTAACATTGAATTAGAATGTTTTGAACTTAAATGAACCTGCTGAACTACTTTCGAAAAAGTCTTAATGCCTGGAAAACAATAAAGGGGATATAATAGTATAGGGGGTAAATAGTATTGTGGATATAAGGGCGACGGTAATGCTTGCCAGCATTGTGATATAAAAACAATTTATGGCGCATTGTATAACATATCTTCCAAACCCCTTGATAGGAACGAGTTGCTGCGTACAATGAAGCACATATGTCCAGCTACACTCTGGAGACTCTACCCCAGGAATTTCAGTTACACATCCTCACCACTATCCCCCAAATCTTCATCATCACTTGCGGAGAAATCTTGTGTTCTATCACTGGTCTTGAATTTGCTTACGCTTATGTAAGTCGTAGGATCATACTTAATTTGAATTAAGATGTTTTACTGTTTTAAATATATTCCCAATTAGAAAGCCATTTTTTGAAATGTTGTTGTACCAACCATTATTCTGTTTCAGGCTCCAGCCTCCATGAAATCAGTCTGTCAGTCTTTCTTCCTCCTCACAAATGCATTCGGAAACATCATCACCATCATCTTTACCAAGGCAACCAAGAGAGATGTAAGTCCTAGTTGATTGCCCTTATATCAGGTCCAGGGAATTTTACATTTAGACATTAGGTCAAATGTACTTACAAAAATTTTACACATGTTTCTCCAACGTGAACATTGAGTCATTATAATATGGATCGGTCACTAAATTGTTGATTCAGTTAAAATACTAGTTTGGTGTGCAGTTTCACATTCTTTGTGCATGGAAAGTGGAAAATCAGTTTACAAATATTCCGTAGTTAATCTCAAAATTATTATTTTCAGCTTCATCTCTACTTTATGTGGGCAGGAATTGAGATTGCGGCCGCTATTGCCATGTTCTTCATTACTCGACAAGTAATAGGTCCACTGGAAAAATTCAAGTTGGAGAGCTGCCAAGAAGAAGCAGTCAAGCCTGAAGATGTTCAGATGAAGGAGGTTAAGAAGAAATAACTGCACAGTTTTCTGTTGATCAGAAACTACCACATTCCACCGAGTTTTAATTACTATTAGTTTACTAGGAAAATTTTCTAGGACACTTTTTTAGGACACATAATTTTAATTGTTTACTATTTTAGGGTTCAAATTTCAATTTTAATGCTACAATGCTAACATTGGTAATAGTTACGGAAATTTGTTGCTAGTATGTTAGGTATTACAGTATTACTATGTTTTATTTAGCTATAATATATGATATAACTAATTTATTGCTTAAATTTATGTTATGCCAAGTGCTCGAATGATTCAATAAATTTGTGTTCTAGAACTGAAAATCATAATGTCCATCGAGCACCAAGGAATTGGCGAATACATTGCCGTAGGGTTTATGTTTTGTATAGGTTTTAGAGGTTCTTAGTATTAAGAATAAAATATGAGGTTGATTATCATTGCGCAGATATGATCATCGACATATTTCTATTAACTTGTAATTACAAATTTCATGATTTATGCCCATAAAAATATTGAGGTGTTATGGATATTGGATATCAAGCAATAAATTTGTAATGTAAAGAACATTTGATTAACACTTTAAGATTTCGACTCTTTGAAAAAAATTCTATCGCCTGTACCAACAGATGTCCCTGTCCCTGTCCCTGTCCCTGTCCCTGTCCCTGTCCCTGTCCCTGTCCCTGTCCCTGTCCCTGTCCCTGTCCCTGTCCCTGTCCCTGTCCCTGTCCCTGTCCCTGTCCCTGTCCCTGTCCCTGTCCCTGTCCCTGTCCCTGTCCCTGTCCCTGTCCCTGTCCCTGTCCCTGTCCCTGTCCCTGTCCCTGTCCCTGTCCCTGTCCCTGTCCCTGTCCCTGTCCCCCTGTCCCTGTCCCTGTCCCTGTCCCTGTCCCTGTCCCTGTCCCTGTCCCTGTCCCTGTCCCTGTCCCTGTCCCTGTCCCTGTCCCTGTCCCTGTCCCTGTCCCTGTCCCTGTCCCTGTCCCTGTCCCTGTCCCTGTCCCTGTCCCTGTCCCTGTCCCTGTCCCTGTCCCTGTCCCTGTCCCTGTCCCTGTCCCTGTCCCTGTCCCTGTCCCTGTCCCTGTCCCTGTCCCTGTCCCTGTCCCTGTCCCTGTCCCTGTCCCTGTCCCTGTCCCTGTCCCTGTCCCTGTCCCTGTCCCTGTCCCTGTCCCTGTCCCTGTCCCTGTCCCTGTCCCTGTCCCTGTCCCTGTCCCTGTCCCTGTCCCTGTCCCTGTCCCTGTCCCTGTCCCTGTCCCTGTCCCTGTCCCTGTCCCTGTCCCTGTCCCTGTCCCTGTCCCTGTCCCTGTCCCTGTCCCTGTCCCTGTCCCTGTCCCTGTCCCTGTCCCTGTCCCTGTCCCTGTCCCTGTCCCTGTCCCTGTCCCTGTCCCTGTCCATGTCCCTGTCCATGTCCCTGTCCATGTCCCTGTCTTCATGCAGCAAGGTCAGCCTTTACCATGGTCGTATTTTTATTTTTGCCTAGTTCAGGAACCTGTATTGGATCTACAGACCTTTAGACTTAGAGGCATTATTGATCATAGAATGGTCACGGTAGGATTATATATCTAACGTGGTACCTCGTGAGCCGCTTTATTTATCACAGCAAAAAAAAGCAATTGAGATAATGTGGGTAATGACTACACTGGATGGATGCAATATAGTAAATGCTTCCTTATTGCGGAGCATCAGGGCACTGATAGAACAATAACATCAAGTTATAAACTGCTCGATGATAAAATGATTTTGGGTTGTACGTGTTGGATCATTCGTCACTACTGCCTCAGTGTAAATTTTCATGTTTTATGACGTCGACGTGCTTGCCTTTCGCGTGGTTTTATAAATGAGAGTAGTTGTGCCATGCGAATATAAATATCGTTATTACCTCAATATGCAATATTATATACTCTACGCTCAATAAAAGCTTATTAACTTTTTACAAATCAGTCGTTTACTATATGTTTTTTGTTCAAATTATATTTTTATGCAGCAAGGCGAACATCTACCGATGAAGAATCTGCTACACTACTTGCTTCTTTTCCATGCTCCATTAATGTGAAAAGTGTCACAGTACAACCCTCCAGTATGTCATTACAAGTGACTTGGCCAAAGTCTAACAAAGTAACTATAACAGTTCAGTGCCCGAGTCACATTGCCAGACTTTTACTCTATTTGTCAGATTAATCGTTAAAAGGAACTATGATTCTGAGATTCGGGGTAATATCAATTTGGTGTAAGGATGCTGGTAGCATGGATTTTTACGGAGGAGAAAAAAGGGAATACCGACGTAGGTTTGTTGGTCGACTGCTATCTCGATGTAAAGTTACACACGAATTATAGGCTAAATTCCCTTCTCCCTCCTTAACCGGGAAATTTTTAGCAACAAAAAAGACTTGGTCAGTGAACGTATAAAAGGAGTTTGAAATGACATCCCTTTATTTTCAGAGCAATGTGAAGAAGGAACGTATCGGGACACTTTTATGACGAGCTGTGCTAAATGCGTCGTTGGAGAGGAACCTAGCAATAAAAAACCACTTGCAGTAAGTTCAGGAGAGAATATTATTGAAATAACATATCAAATCACAAAAGTGACTCGGTTTGTATTTGCAAATATAAAACAACCCCCCCCCCCCCCCTCTTATTCTGCTAGGTGGTCTACTGACCAAACATCAATCTTTGATCCAGTTCCTTGCCAAGGAGGGACCTTCAAGGACAGTTCACAGTCAGTATGTCAGAAGTGTCCCACAAACAGTTACATTGCAGAGGGAGCAGGGCTGTGTATCACGTGTCCTAAAGGATCCCATGCTTCCGAGGATCACATTCGCTGCGGTAATTTTCTCTGATATATCGTATTTAGACATTTCATATATTCCACAGGCCACCACCAGGGTCAAGTTCAACTAGAAATTGGGACTAGTTTATCTTGTACTTTGTGAACGCATATAAAATTATCCAAAACGTTCAGTTTCGTGTGAGAGTCTACCCTCTAACTGGACGGAGATAATAACAGAGACACAGTTCCCCCTACCACCTGGGGCTGAAGTTTCCCTAAAGTGTAGTCCCGGACACACTATGACTAGAGACAACACCGTAACATGTGTTGAGGGAACAGATTTTTCCTTAACTATAACTATCCCCTCCTGTATGCTAGGTTTGTAGGCAGAATGTTTTTTTTCGTGTCTGTTGGTGTTAAGAAGGGATTTTTATCAAGCGTAAACTATTTAAACAGGTGAGGTCGTAATGAGCCTAAACCTCTCTTATCTTAAAGAACGGAAAAAATAAATTGTTCACTATTATTATAGACAGGTGTGGGTCTCTCCCGGACACAGCAAACCTTAAAACGGAAACTTAGTTTCCGGTGCAGTGGATGTTGTTTTATTAACATTGTACTCCAACATCAGTTAATATTAACTCCACTGTTCAGGATCATGCTCAGAATTACAGCTAGACAGTAGCCTCTACACTAGCTCCCATTTCCCTGTGAAGAAGGGGACAAAAATAGATGTGAACTGTGTGGCTGGGTACTCCTTAGCTGGAGACAGAACCATCACCTGTGTCCAGGACACAAAGTTCAGCTCAGCCAGGAACTTCCCTAGCTGCTCCATAGACAAGTGCACTGGATTGCTGGATGAAATGTTCGACATGAATACAAACATCCCACTTCCAGTGGACCACGGAAAAAGAGTGGAGCTGGACTGTATCCAGGGTACAGTCTTTCAGGGAGCAGTCTCATCACCTGTATCAGGGATAAGAGCTGGGAGTACAAGGACACGACACCTTACTGTGTTTTAGGTGAGATCCTGGGAAATTGGGGTAAGAGCTGGGAGTACAAGGACACAACACCTCACTGTGTTTTAGGTGAGATCCCGGGAAATCATGGGGGTAAGAGCTGGGAGTACAAGGACACAACACCTCACTGTGTTTTAGGTGAGGTCCCGGGAAATTGGGGGCTAGAGCTGGGAGTACAAGGACACAACACCTCACTGTGTTTTAGGTGTTTTAGAACATTCAAGTGTCCGTAGATTCAAAAGTATAAACGATACAGTCATCTAGATTATAGAACCACAGGTTTTAAAGATAATCGTTTATACTTTAGTTTACATTATATCGAAAAATAATTTAACGTCATCATCATCACTTGATGGCGTCATCAAGTTAAGTGTTTTTAAAACTTGATTTTTGACAAAATAACAACTTTTCAAATCGAGTTTAAACCATTAAGGAGTAATTTTATTCAAAATCTGAGGACATTTTCATTCACTTGGAATTTTTGTACAGTCGATTTGGTCAACGTCTAGACGCCCTGCAAAATTTCAGATCTCTAACTCATTTTTAACATGGTTTTTAAGGCACCTGAATATGGCGATGTTGGGTTTTTTACCTAATTTCGTATAACATGCTGGCCCGTATTTTGCGCAAATTTCTTAAAAATTTCTTAAAAAATTCAAAATTGCGGTAAAATCATATTGTCCTTTTCTCTGTCCCACCTTTTAATTTAAGAGTTAAAAAATAATAATCGGCAGAATCACGTCATCAGTCAACGATACTCCACTTAAAAATAGTGCTTACTTCATGTCACGTCAAATATAAATTACCAAATCAGACCTATTTAAATTGTTCAAAATTGGTTAGTCAAAAATCTTTATTATCGTAAAATTGGTAATATCTTATGAACTTTTTGATATCATTTACTATTTATAGTAAAGCAACTTGTGTTCTAAAATATCAGATTTCCGGTATGCCGGTACTGTCATAAAATCTTGCTGTTCCTGCCGCGGTAAAGCGTTTGATATTTTCCAGTAATAGGTCTCCCAGAATAGCTTCGGTTGCAGTATACTCATTCGGTATTTTTATGTTACAGACAGTGGCCGTACTATCGTTTCTTTACTTGGTCCTCCATAAAGAAGTGTTCCTCTCCCGTTGACCACGGGAATGGTTTCGCCTGCACTATAAAATATCGATTATATTCGACGCGTTTCTATTGTCAGAGCTGACACAGATGTGTTAGTTCTCCGGCAATCGTCCCATGTTAGGCACAGATAACCGGTATATAAAGTTGAGCCCAAGTAAATTTCATCGAGTGCCTACCGATTCACGATTTCTCAACAGATTATCGAAGGTATTGACTATATGTAAGGGCTCGCTCCCAAAACGGAAATTTACTTTTAGTGATTTATACGTAAATCACTTTTTTTTTGCAAAATCGTTTTGTCAAATTAAACACTTTTGCAGGTACCCAGCCGGCAAAGTTCGTTAGATTAACGTTGTTTTAAGGTTGGAATTTACACTTTGCAACATTGGGTTTGAAACGTTGTGTACAAGTTGATTAAACATTACATCACTAACGTTGGAAATGAGTTAGCTGTTAAAGGTTAATGTAACGTATTTGGTACTACGTTGTATACACGTTATCAGAAAAACTATACGACAACGTTGTAATTGAAACGTGTTAATAACGTACTTGAAAAGTTCGTTCGGTAAACGTTGTAATTTACACTTTGCAACGTTGGGTTTGTAACGTGGTT